TGGATTGGAAGTCACTCGTTCTCCTCAAGGGTACTTTGTGAATCAGTAGAAGTATACTATGGACTTGGTTCACCTTGGTTGCCTCAATGATGATAAGTAGGTGGATACTCCTCTTAAGGTGAACCTCAAATTATCTAAGGATGACGGTGAACTTCTTCCTAGTGCTACACTATATTGACAACTTGTTGGTAGTCTTGTCTACCTCACTATGACAAGGCCAAATATCTTTTATGATGTTCAAGTTCTCAGTCAATTTGTTTCTTCCCCTAGACAACCACATATGACTGCAGTTCTTTGGATCATTTAGTACATTAGGGCTACTATCTCTCATGAACTTCTTTTCTCCTCATCATCATCTCTCCATCTATCTGCCTATGCTGATGCAGATTGGGCTGGATGTCCTGACACTAGAAGATCTACTACTGGCTGGTGKATTTTTATGGGTGATTCCCTTATCTCTTGGAAATGCAAGAAACAACAGATAGTTTCCAAATCCTCCACTGAAGTTGAGTATCATGCCATGTCATCAGTCCGTAGTGAAATTGTGTGGCTTAGAGCTCTTCTTGGTGATCTTCATATGCAGCTCCCAACTCCCATTCCCATCCATGTAGATAATGTTAGTGCCATCAAAATTGCCTCTAATCTTGTTTTTCATGAATGCAAGACAGAAGGAAGGTTCCTGCGTGCAGGAAAGCTTTTTCACCGTCCATTGGGTATTTGTCTCTATCTCGCTCTCCCAACTCATACTTATGATAGGCGGGCTCAATGCCCGATATTTACCTCTGGAAATCCTTCTCTTTGAATTCCCAGTATTCAGTTGGTACTAAACATGTAGAGGTTGACTATCACTTCATCAGAGATCAGTACCTTGGTGGAATTATCACTCTTCCCCATGTTTTGTTTGGTCTTCAACTTGCTGACATCTTCACGAAGGCTATAACACATCCTCGCCACAAGTTCCAATCTGACAAATTGATGCTTTTATCTCAACATCAGTTTGAAGGGGGGTGTCGAGATACTATGGGCTGACTTGGTTGGGGGTATTGTATTATCATGTACCTTATGTACAATATCTTTTATTTGTTCTTTGTATATCTCTTCTTTTATGTTAGAGGAGGGYAGCTTTGTCCTTTTCCTTGTACYCGCATAATATATACAATACATTCTTTTGGGTGTGTAGACATTAAACACACCCTTTCATATTCTCTGTGCAGTTCGAACTATCTCTGTCATTAACAAGAGGATCAAGAAGACAAAAAAGAGTTGTCAAGAAAAAGAAAGAGGATTATAATACTTTCGTAGGAGGTTTAGGGTGAGTGAGTTCTGTTTCTTTTGGAGTGGACGCTCAGATAGAGAGGTCTATCAGGATTTGGTATGATCTCTAGATGGTGAAATGGGGGTCAAGTCTTGGGTCGGCTTGTGATCTAATTGGGTGTTAGGGTTGAGCGTGGAGTGTTCGATGTTATGGAAAACTGGATTAGAAGCAATCTTGATAGCACTAGTATTATCAACATAGAGAGGAATAGGGATAGGAAGACGTTTTTGAAGATAAATAAAAAATGAAACTTTATTGAAACAAAAAAGAAAAAGAGGCCTTAACCCCTGCACTACCTCAAAACAAATCTGAAAAAAACCACTAGACACATCCTCCCAACAGTTCACTACAAAAAACATAAGAATCAAAACTCAAATAATCTCCTGAAAGCACATCGCAAATCAATGAAGCCACCCCCATCTTTATATCCACTCAAAACATTTCAACACTCCCCAAAGGTAACCCTTTTCCTACCCTAATCAACAAAACCTCCTCCAACCAGCTCTGTCACCCTACCAATCTCAACAGGTCTAATCATTCTGTGCTCTTTCCAGGTCCAAAAAAGTTATCCTAGCAAATTCTTCCCCACCTAAAAAAGAAAAGCCCCAAAATTTTACTCACTTGAACTTCTTTCTCAACCACTACTTCTAGCTTAGCCTTCTCAACCAATCTCGCTTGGTCGAGGATCTCATTCCCATCATTCTCTTGAATCTCCGAATCGCATTCCTTATCCAACTTTAGAAGGAGGACCATGGAGATCATAACAGAAATTCACCGAATGTCTGTTCCTACCACAATGGGTACACTTCCTTGTAGAGTTACTTTTTCCTTTACCACGGCCTCCCCCTGAGTCACGACCACCACCACGGCCAAATACGGAACCACCACAACCTCCTCGGGAGGCATGTCCTCCCCCT